TAAAAAGTAAAAACTAATCACAGTCATCTAATAATTAGAGTTTATCAAGATTTTAGTAAAAAAAAAAAAAATACGAGATAAACCATTAATTTATCTAATTATTATAAAATTGACCCATTCATTTTTCTTTATTTTATAGCAATTCCCAACCGGTGATATACTCAAATGAATGGATCAATTAATCTTCCCTTTTTACATGAGAGATTTTTCTCACATCAACCCTTCTTAATAATAATAATATTAATAATAATAAAGTAGAATTTTGGAAGTTAAATGGTAATTAAAGAAGGCAAGGAAGTTGGTAGCACACCTTCATCCGGCAATATTGCCTGTTTTTTTTGCATTCAATGAATTTTACAACCTGGTCTAAACACTATGTTGATGACGCACAGTCTTTGGAGAAGACAACAATTGCAAATCTTGATTCTTGAATAGCCTTGTAGTAGAGCCAAAGTCATATGTTGCCTTTTCTCCAATAGCTCATCATCTTTAAAGATATGAATTCCTTTTTGTATCAGCCGACCGTAAAGACTAAAGATGATCCACACAATAATTCACATCTAAAGCTCTAAGAAATCATCATAAGTTAATTTGGAATTGATTTTGAAGGAGTAGCAGATCAGAAGAGATAAAAAGCCAGATTTTGGAACTGGAATTTCAATGCATCTGAAACCTACAAGGCACTAACTAATTGGAATGGCATATAACAATTCCTGGAAATTTCATGGCAGACAGATTTGATATCTTATTAGCTGGGTGCCACTCCAACTTAAAGTTGACGCAATAATTGATGTTGGACTGTTTTCTTTTTATTATGGAAAATACTACTAACTCTTAAATTCTACTCCCTATTTTTACAACCTGATTTAAAGTTTTGACTTTTTAACATTTTTTTTTTAAAAATTTACAGGATAAAAGATAACTTATCATCCCTTACTACATTGAAAATAAAAGTGTAAAAGTAGATATTGAATTCCATGTAGTAGAACTATTTTAATAATATAATAAGTAATTTTATATTTTTATTCTATTTTTTTCCGATATTGACATGACATATTGCGATTTTTCTTTTAGATGATTACAAATTTTTAAAAAAGTGATAGAGAATCAAATGAAAAGTCTGATCTATCATATTACTCATTATTATGGATGTTAATCCCCAATAGTTAAATGGGACCAACCTTTCATGGTAAAATGCAATGTGGACCTTGGTTCAAAACCATAAAGTTTAAGCTAACATGATTAATGGACTCTTGTTTCAGTTTTTAAAAGTCGTGTTGAACGTGCTTTTGAATATTAAGTTTTGAGTTTTTAAAAATACTAAGTTATGAACATTAAGGTTTGAGTTACGTTTATGAACATATATTGTCTAATTTTTAAATATTATGTTTTAAGTTTATGAACATATATAAGACATGTTATAAATATGTAACAAGGTGAATGTTATAGTGTCTAGTTTATAAACATTAAGCTTTGAGTGTATGGACATATAATTTTTAGTTTCTTAACATTAAGTTTATTTTGAGTTTCTGACATATAGTGTCTAGTTTTTTAACATTAAGCTAAACATTGAATTTCTGGACATATAATATATACTTTCTAAACATTAAGTTTTAAGTTTCTGAACATATAAATGATTAACACCATTAACGTTAAAATGATTTTTTTTTTGACAAATAATTTGCATATTAATCCATATCCGCCTACCGGGCTAATCATTTCGAATTGTTGGGTTGATCAAATTGATTTTTGATCAAATTATTATTAACTTTTTTACCATAACCTTAAAATCTCGACCAATTAGCCTTATTGTGTGAGCTTAATAAATTTTATTGACATTTTAAAACTAACATTTTGCCAAGCACTTTGTGCTCAGATGGCACTCGGATTGAACTTCCATATGGGAGGTTGTGAGTGTGAGTTCGAGCCTCAGTTGAGGTGTTATTAGCTCCTTGTGTTTCAGTATTGTAATAGAGTCAGGAGCATTCAAAAAAAAATTAATATTCTAAAATTTAAATTTTAACAAGTTAGTACATTAACATTATAAATATAATTTTAAAACATCATTTAATCAAGCTAACTCTCCAATTTCAAATTCTTACACAAAAACATAATGTAATAATTATAATAAGGTTTTTGAATTTTTCATTAACTATTTCCATAAAGAATAATTTATTTTGTAATAAATTTATTAATGTATTTAATAAAATTTTAATAAAACTTTTGAAGAAAAAAAAAAAAAAAAAAAAAGCTAAAGAAACACTAAAGTAAAAACCCACTCATTTGTATATTTTGTTATACTTCTCACTTATACAGTTATACTCTCGAGCAACTCAAACTATCAGTCTAACTCTTTAAATACGTTTTGTTAATTTAGACTATTTTGACTGATTTTTATTTTTTTTATCAAACAAAAAATTTATCTGGACACTTAAAATTTTTTAATTCGATATTATCAGGCAAACCCATTAATTTTGGACTAAAATTCACATCCTAATTACTCATCAAATTATTACTCCGCATGTGAATTGGTCGCAAATTATGCCATGGAACCGTGTTCACCGAGAATGGTGAACACAAGACAAAACGACGTCGTTTTTAGGCCAAAAAAAAAAAAATTTCGCGGATGTGGAGTTAACGGCGCGCGTTTGATCAAATTATGAATTTTCTGTTATGAGATTATGAATTTTATGAAAGTTCATAATCTCATAACAGAAAATTCATAATCGCATAACAGAAAATTCATAATCTCACAACTGAAAATTCATAATCTCATAACAGAAAATTCATAATCTTATAACAGAAAATTCATAATCTCATGGTTCCAAAGTGAATGTGTAGGCATGGTTCCAAAGTGAATGTGCAGGCATGGATTCATAATTTATGAATGTCCGTGATTTTGGACGGGAATACATGCATGGTTCCAAAGTGAATGTGCAGGCATGAATTCATAATTTATGAATGTCCGAAATTATGAATGTAATGAAAAACAGAAAATTCATAATCGCATAACAGAAAATCCATAATCTCATAACTGAAATTTCATAATCTCATAACAGAAAATTCATAATCTTATAACAGAAAATTCATAATCTCATGGTTCCAAAGTGAATGTGTACGCATCGTTCCAAAGTGAATGTGCAGCCATGGATTCATAATTTATGAATGTCCATGATTTTGGACGGGAATGTGTAGGCATGGTTCCAAAGCGAATGTACAGGCATGAATTCATAATTTATGAATGTCCGAAATCTTTGTTCATCTCAAATTAAAGTGAAACCGCAAAATGTGAAAATAAAGAAGAAAAGTCACGCAATTAATTATAAAAAAAAAAAAAAAAAGAAGAAGAAGAAGAAGAAGATAATGGTGTACTAACACCGTTAGAACCGTGTTCACCATGAATGGTGAACACGGTTCCATGGCATAACGTCTGTGAATTGGTTATTTGGGTCATACCACTGTCCAATATTCTCCACTGCTTGCCCAAATTATTAAAGTGTGTATTATTTGAGGAAAAAAATCAGTGGAACACAACTAAGAAGTGGGGGCGAGTTTTTTATTTTTATTTTTTATTTTTATTTTTATTTTTTTTTAAGTGGGGGCGAAGGTTTGGTTCAGATATAGACATTTTGGAATAGAAAAATCAAACATTTTTTTTAATGCTACTAACTCTATTACGTTGTAATATCTGTTCAAACATACTTTCTTAATCTATTGAAGCACAAGGAGTTAACAACACTTCCACTGAGGCTTGATCTCATGACCTCCCATATGAGATGAGAAAAGTCATTACATGTCATCTAAGTACCTTGGCTAAAGTCAAATATTTAATAATAATAGGAATGAATTTTTATAAAAGTAATTTAGTCATTTGGTATAAAAATGAAAATTAAAAAATAATGCAGAAATAATGAAATATTACTGTAAAAAAATAATTTAACAAATTTTAAGACAAAAAATTAAATATTGCGTTATGAATTTAGACGGACAAGAATGACGAGGATAGAATTTCTTTTCCTTTTTCCTTATTTTTCCGTATGATGTACAAAAGTGCAATAGTTATATCATAGATCCGGATCCATCTTGCAAAGTATATTTGCGTACACAATTTACGTACTAAATATTCACAATTTATCTTTTACAAAAAATTATGAACATTCAATATGTAAATTGTGTATTGAGAGGTGGACTCGGATTCACTTAATAATTTTGCCACAAAGTGGGTTTTTCCTCTAGAAAAAAAATCTATCACTTTAGAGGGATTTAAATACAATTTCAGTGCATTAAAATTATATAGACAAACATGGGAATAATTTAAGATTTGAATCGATCATTTAAAAGTTGTTAAACAAACACAGGATCAACTTGCCCCTTAAACGAAATAAATTTGGTATCAAATTTTGGTGATTTATATTTTATTCTTAATTTTTAGCATTATTGGATAAATAATTATTTTATTAGTTTATAACTTTATTATAAACAAAAAAAAAAAAAAAACTAAAAGTATTTCAGAATTTAAGTTACTCCGTAATTTTCAATGATTTATTTCAATTTTACTCTCCAATAATATATATATACACACACAAATTAAACGGGAGATCTTCTCACCTTAGAAGACTTTTAATAAAATAAGAGACTTAAAATCTTCTCTTTTATTTAACTAATTAATATCTACTGCTACAAAACAGTAAAGGTTCTTAACTTCGCATGAACAACTCAATTGATTTTTAAAAATAAATAAATATATATTGTGTGCAAGGACAATATATATCTTTATTTAAGTGATGTTTAAACTCCAAGGTCTTGCCGTCTTGACCCATTGCTCCCGTCCTAGTCTCCTAGAGATTAGGGGCTATTTATTTACAAACTAGCTAATTGCCCCAATCATTTTCAAAAAAAAAAAAAGCTAATTGCCCCAATCAACATAAGTAATTGAAGAGTAGTATTTACAAAGTTCGTTGAAGCAAAAATTGCATGTCACAAAGAATAATGGTTAAGCAAAGCAAAAGTAGAAGCACAATTTTTATCCATATTACAGAATCATTTTACACATATATACATGGAAGGTAATTAAGTATTATATGCACACCAGATAACATATATATCAAGCTAAGGATGATAAATCACCATATACCAACATTCAAAGTTTAACCACCACAAGAAAGCTCTTCATTGTTTGTATTCATGTTTCGTACGTGGGAGCATAACCTAGCTAGGTTGATTCCTGTGCTGTTTTCCTCACAACAAGAACAGGACACTTGGCATGGTGAACACAGTAGTTGCTGACACTTCCAAGAAAAGCCCTGAATATAATGTTTCATTTTCAGGGAAATTATATTCTTTAAACCGAAACCGGAACCACCCCTAAATAGGATAGTAGAGGCATAAATCACAATGACTCAACGACTCATTAGGTGGAATGACCAATATCTGGTGCTAACAAGGAGCTCATCACATTAGGTGAAACTCCAGATTATAGCTGATAGGGTTCGATCATGTGTCTTTACCCTATAATCTATCACCTTGGAACTAACTTAGCTGTCCATGTGGGCTCAAAAGTGTTTATTTGGTTGCAAGAAGAAGTATTTCACTATGCTAATTATAAGTTTGGTTAAGATGAGACTATCATAGTCCAAATTAAAGCCAGCCAAACAGATTAATTAATGATATCAAATTTTAAATAATAATAATAATAAAATATTAAAGAAATTGCAAGCCTTATTAGTGAAGCTAAAGAAATGGAGATAAAGTTGAAATTAACCTTTGGAGAGGTCCACGAGTATGAGTTCCCAAGACAAGCAAATGGACATTAAGCCTCTCCACTGCTTCACATATTGCCTCTTTGGGATCACCTACTTCTGTGCCGGTTTCTGGAGTAATCTGTCACAAAAATATTATCCTTTTTAGTTAAACATAAAGGGGTGTTTGGTAAATAGTTAAACTGGAGAAGGCAGCCCTGGTTGTCTTCTCCAATGGGCGGCCGTCTGGTCGTCTTTTCCGGTGGAAGACGACTGGACGGCCGAAAATTGTCGCCGGTGGTCAGAATTCGTCGCCGGAATTGAAATGACCTGTAATAATTGGTCATTACCGGTTTTTGCGCTTCATTAGTCCAATTTGACATGGTTGAAGATTTAATTAAACTTTTTTAAAGCTTAGAGGCCTAATTGACATTTGGGGTAAACTTTAGGGGTCTATTCATGGTTGAAAAAATCGCTAGGCGTTCGAGGGTGCCTAGGCGGGGATTAATCAGTGCCTAGGCGCCCGTGTATTTTTTATTTTATTTTTTATTTTAAAAAAAATATTTAAATTTAAATTTTTTTAAGACTTGATAATTTTAAACTATTTAATATTTTAATATTTAATATTTAATACTAAAATATTAATATTAACCAAAAATCATAGAGTTTGAACAATTTAGAGTTAGTTCGCTTAAAATGATACATCGTTTTGAGTGAAATAACTCATTTAAAAAAAAAGGAAACAATAGCTAATCAGCCGACAAGGCGACTTAGTCGGTACCTAGGAAGCCTAGGCGGTCAGCGCCTAGGTGGCCTAGTCGACGATATGCCTAGATCACCGATTATGGTGATACACTAGGCGGCCGGCCAACACCTAGCGCTTAGGCAGGATTTTTGCAACATTAAGCCTATTTGACCCTTTTCTCAAAAAAAATAAAAATAAAAAAAATACTCCTTACAAAAAATTTTGGATTATGAGCCACACCAAGATTTTAATATTGTTTAACCTAACCCAATTCCACCCAAATTTTGATTGGGCTAGCTTAACTTAACCTAAATACTAGTAATCTAGAATATGATGAGCAAGCTCATTTATTTAACACCATTTGGGTGCCATTTGGGTGGGGGAGGAGGGAGGGAGAAACATAAGTTAGAGGTGCCCAAATCCCGCGAGCCAAGCCTAGGCCTAAGTTAGCACTAATCAGGATCGGCTCAGGATAACTTGGGCCGCTCCCGTGCCAGGGCTGGGTCGATCCCGAGCTAGGCCCAGAATTTTTGAATTTATTTTATATAAAATATTTATAAATTATTTGTTTTTTGTTTGAAATGAAATGTAAACTATTGACCAGTGTTGCAAAAATCTCACATAAGCACTGATTAATCCTCACCTAGGCACTAGGGGCCAGCCGCCTAGCGTATCACCATAATTGGTGATCTAGGTGGTTGGCCGACTAGGCCGCCTAGTCACCTAAGCGCTGACCGCCTGGACTTCCTCGGCACCGACTAGGTCGCCTAGTCGGGTGATTAGCTATTGTTTTCTTCTTAAATGATTTATTTCACTCAAAACGATGTGTCCTTTGAGCGAAATAACCTTAAATGGTTCAAACTCTATTTTTTTTTGTTATTATTTAATATTTTAGTATTAAATATTAAAATATTAAATAATTTATAATTATCCAGTCTTAAAAAAATTTAAAATTTTAAAAAATAATTTTTTAAAAAAATAAAAAATACACTGGCACCTAGGCGCCGATTAATTCCCGCCTAAGCGCCTTTTGTTTAAAATAATATTTTAAACATTAATCTCAAAATAAAAACTCGCACTTTTTCAAAGTTAATATTTTTGTTTTTTTTAAACTTTAATCTCAAAATAAAAAAATTTATATGATTTTTTACAAAATAAAAAATTTATAGAACTTTAATAATATTTAAACTTGTACTATTAAAATTTTTTATAAGACTTGTAATATTGTTTGATAACTTATAAATATTATAAAGTATGTTGCAACTTATAAAGTTAATGCTAGATTTTGTCTGGGCCAAGACTCAGACCTGAGCCGATTTGAGCTGGACTTCAGACTATTTTTTTTATAGGACTTGAACCAACTCTCTATAAGCCGGTTCAGATTTGGGCTAAGCCTAACCAGGCTCAGAAAAGTCTAGACTAGCTTTTTTCAACCCGATTCAGGACTGGTTCGACCTTGAATTGGCGGCCTAGCCCGTGGCCGCGGCTCTAAAGTAAGTATAACATTAATTTGAAATCATATTGTATAGAAAAAATTTTGCAGGTATTAGGTAGCAGAGCGTACCCCATATTGAGTGCAGAGCTTGGTGGCCTTTTCCAGCAGAGCATCAGCCATCTTTTTCTGATTTTCCCCAAGGGAATTCATTAATTCCGCTGCTGCAATTCATCAATCATATCATCTACTTAATTTACTTCAACTTTCAATACAACTCCATCTCTTTTAAATTATGATGTATCAAATGTTAACACAATAAATATTTACAGAAAGATGCATATACTAATATACATAATAAAAATTGGTTTTAAGAAATTAATTTTAAAAAAAAAAATCAAAATAAAGGAGAGGAGAATGCATACGCGTAGAGCCGAAGGAAGCGGCATGGACAAAGCTATAATGAAGAAGCGGCTGTACAGTGAAGATGAAGACGTCGGAATCAATGGCGGACGGCGACGGATTGTTACGGTTGCGCTGGATAAAATTGTGGAGAGTCCAGCGAAGAGCGTGGAGGCTGTTTTCGCTGTCGTCTATAGCAACCATCACTTTGTTCTTCTGCTGCTCCTGACCTATCTCCCCTTCCGCCATCAACTTTTTCTTCGATTAACCGACTCACACAACAATCAATGTTCTGTCCACCGATATATACATCATTCTTATTATTATGCACCTGAGCAATGGGCACGTGTACGTACTGGAGGTATCGACGCTTTCGTGGTGGCGGCATGATTTGACACTCCGCCGACTGTAACGGTTGCATTGAAACTGGGTTGAAATTATATAATATAAATTAAATTTTTAAACTTACTCTAGAACGGAACATTCAAGTAATTTCTCAGTCAATTTCTAATTGACTCAAAATCGATGGTGTTGGTGAGAGTCGAGTTTCCATCCTTTCATTAGAATGATAATTTTAGATCATGTGGTCAAATACTTGAGCTAGTCTAGCAAATCCAAGTTTTTTAATATTACTACGATAATGTAGTAAGTGTTTGGTTCAATTGATTTGAGAGAAAAAATTGATATATGTATTCTCATTCTGTAAAACTCTCATTATGTTTCTTAATCTTATTGATAGAGGATAGAAAGAGTAATAAAAATCATATTCTATATTTGCAATAACAATTTATGTGTCTGCAGTTATCATATTATGTACTTTCAATTTGTTTACATATATAAAAATTATTAATTATAGTTATCATGTTATGTGCTTTCAATTTATTTACATATATAAAAATTATTAATTATAATTTTTAGATTAGAATTCACAAACACTGGTCCATGGTATAAGTGTATAACAATAGGGAGAAACTGTACTAATGCTTTTGGTGTCACTCCTCTGGAGTACCCAAGTGAGTTAACATGACAAGATTTGATATTCCCTTAAATTAACGAATTACAAAACTAAACAACTCAACTTGATCTACCAAAACACACAACTTAATTAAAAGACATTATAAAAATTATTTAACAATTAAATACAGAAAATTGCACAACATCCACCGAGTACTTTCGTATGCCTCATGTTCAACAGTCAAATTTGGAGCTTAAATAATTATAATTTGGAATATATCTAGTTACTTAATTTCAAACCCTTTGTTAAATTTTTTTTTTAATATAATCAATATAATTACTCAATAAAAAAGATCAATTCCTTGAAGTTGAAAAGAACAAGGATTGAACCTGAGACTTCTTATCTTCTTCTTCTTCTCCTAAATATTGTTTACTGAACCTGAGAACAAGGATTGAACCGGAGACTTCTTATCTGGTATTACAAGCTGGCGCCTTTGGTGGAACTAAAACTCTCCTTTTGTGGTAATGTTAGCTTGATTCAACCGTACGAAGGAACTGAACAAATTTGGATCTAAACTCTGGAGGAATGCGGACTGGACGATAACTTTTGTTAAGCCACACTGCTACTCCACTGGCCTCCAGAATGGGCTGCCAACCAACATTACAGAGTTTCACAACACGCGATCTTTCGTTATAAGATATTCTACAATCTATGATGAGTTATGGAACCAAACCTCTTCGTTCGGAAGCTTGAAGATGAAGTGCTCGAAGAATAAACGAGCAGGTGACAAGTCAGATATCCGCACCTTCACAACAAACCTGTCTCCGCTCTGATGGGAAAAATGGTAAACCAAATAAGCTATCGTGAAGTGAATATACATATGGAGTAAGAAATTTTAGGCATGGAAGGAATGACAATTAATTCCCCGGTGATTTGAAGATGAAGGACGAACCCTTAAAGGTGCAATAAACTTAAGTGACAGCTCTGACAGCGCTAATGCATCACCAGTGCGTGCAACTTCATCTGCATTTACACCAATTCTTTCCAGAAGTTCATGCCGACCTGTGAAAATCTCTAAGAATAAGTTCTATGAATTTTGACAACAACCCAAAAGTTATTTATTTTCATCCAATTCATATAGGACCATGAGTTAACATCACTCAAAGAGAAGGCCAAAGAAAAAAGAGAAAACCAACAAGAACATCCACTAAAACCTATCACAGGGCATAGTGGTGCAATTAAAATTGCTCTTTATGTTTTGATTACACTCATTTGCGTGTTTGATGTCTCTTCATAAGAAATTAGGTTCATAACTTTAACCTTTCACATCTAACACAACATGGTTTGCTGAGCACCACAAAGTTGCTAGCTGCTGATACTGAGCTGTACAGTATTTCAATGACAGTGATATACATTAAATACGACCTTAAATGTAAGTACACTTGACTAGACGATTTTAGAGCAAATTTTTTACAAAACGAAACTGTTAGAAGCAAGGTTATGAGGCTACCTACTACTACAAGGTGACATTTTTAACTCAGAATGAATGCACTTTCAAAGATTGGATGCGGCTAGCTATGCGACAGACTATTTAACAAATTAATAATAACAGCACAAGTACAAATTCAGCAAAGTGAAATTTCATAATAAGTTGAATATAATAAGAACATCTTAAGTCTATACATGCTCTCAAAATAGGTATTGTTTATGGTAAGGCCCCAGGATCATGCAGTGACCGCTGACCAGTTCATCTATGGGCTTTTGCCTTATAGAAAAGTTATAAAATTTGGTTAGAATTTTGGATAAGGCAGTTGCTTTCATGGACCAAAGCCACGACTTCTTGTCAGAAGGAAAGACAAAGGCGCTACCAAAGTCATAATCTAAAATTTGGGACAAATCATAGCAAGAGTTAAAGAATTACAGTACTTGGAAATGCCAAGCTAATTACATACAGCAAGAATGAAAAGCGCAAACTGAGTCAAGAAAAACATTTACAATATTCACTCACAGAATAGGAATTGAGTTGATAGATATATAACAAAAATAGTACTAAATTGTAGCAATAAAAAGTACCCTAATTTCTTCTGTTGCTTAGTGTAAATGATTTAGCAGGAAATCCTCACCGTGCTGGCAATAACTCGCATAAACAGCATTGTTTACAACATTGTATTGATCCAATTCATAGTCCCGGACTTTGAGTTCAATTTCATGGAATCCACTCATTCTGCCAAACAACAATCATAATGCTGCTACATTGACATAGAAAATATAAACTCCGAAGAAATAATAGAATCCAGTGGAATCAAAGTTTCAGAATTCTCAAGATATTACGCTAATTTCTTAAGTAAAATTTCGAGAAAATCAATTCATGTACAAATAAATATAAAGTCATAAAGGAGAAGCAATGGTTTCGAATAAAACCAAATGTTTTGAGCAGGAGAATTTCAAAAAGAGTCAAACTATTGGGAAATTGAAGCACCTTTGGCCGCCTTTGAAGTCAAGCGGAAGAGCGGAGCAGCATCTAGCCGGAGTGGTCATTGACCGGAGCATCGGTGGCCGGAGCGGCGAACCATGAATGGCCGGAAAATTGATCAACCGGCCGTGAAGGGTGGGCCCAACAGGATTGGCACGTGAGGAGGAGGGTGGTGTGAAGTGCATAGAATGAGAGAGCAAGGACAGAGACATTGCTCCCCGGAGTGTAGTTCGGCGATCAGGAAAACGTCGGAGAAGTGAGGAGTAGATGGAAATTTCGATGAAAGGTTTGGGCATTTATTTGCTTAGACTTAGTTATTGGTGGTTTTTAGGTTTTGGACGTTAAGTTATGGGCGGAAATGGGTATAAAAATGTTAAGTGTACACATAATTTATATTCATAATGTATATAATTTATATTTATAATACACATACACATAAAATTACTATATAATGAACAAATATGAATTCTATGCATTATGAACATAAATTATGTTAAATGTTTATGTGTCTTCAGCTATATAATACATGAATTCAAGTTCATATTGCACAGAATTTATGTTCATTATATCATGTTTATGTGTATGTGTATTGATGGGGTGTGAACCCCGTGGGCTCGGTGCCCAAGAAGAAAAGAGATCAAGCCTAGAAGAAGAAGAGAAGTCCAAGAAAAAAATGGAGCAAGTCCAAAAATAGATATGGGCCAAACCGAGAGGTCGGCTCGACCCAGAAATCGACACGGGAATAAGGTCGACCTAAATTAGCCGTTAGCCCATATTAAACTCCTAATTATTACCCTTCAATTCCTAACCCCCCTAATTATCTACCCTTAAAGTCCTATTAAAACACATATTTACTTACCTCATCATATTAACCTACCATTTACTACCCATCAATATCATACTAAATGGTACTTTTTGGAGTAGCTAGACCCTTCAATTCCTAACCCCCTAATTATCTACCCTTAAAGTCCTATTAAAACACATATTTACTTACCTCATCATATTAACCTACCATTTACTACCCATCAATATCATACTAAATGGTCCAACAATACTTTTTGGAGTAACTAGCTGTAAAAAGGAGAAGAAGAGCACAACGAGGGGGACCACTCATTCATCCACATGGGAGGACTCTCCCAAACACTATTCCTACACACTAGAAGATCACATATCACTCTCCCACAACTACTCTCCCAAGAAGGCTTCATTCCACAATATACAAAGAAGACTCCACCACTCTTTCACGCATGAAGAAGACTCCACCACCATCCCACCAAGAAGCATACTCCATCTCTCGGTATCAAAGATTGCTTTATTCTTACACAATATTACATGTACAAAATAGCCATATACCATGTACCAATAGCTACAAGAATAGTGAAAGTCTTGGCTTGGCACCGCCCAAAAGGCCCGTGGTTTTCACATTTCGGTTTCCATGTACAAAAACATTGAGTTATATTTTTTCTACTTATTTTTCTATAAGCCACATTGTGAAAGGTGTATTCACCGATCAAGTTTGTATTGGACCAGGACCTCCCTGGGCCCAAAAATCCCTAAAACCAACATGTATTATAAACATAAATTCTGTGCATTATGAACATAAATTATCTGTATTATGAAGTTAAATTTTGTAAATTAGACCAAGGTCCACGATATAACAATTGATTTAAGGAGTATAATTTTTATCAAGTATTTAGGGGGTGTATTTTTTATTTTTTATTTTTTTGAAAACAAATAAATTCAATTAAATGAAGAAATCAAGAATAGAGTCAAGAGGCCCTAAAGAGGGATTCCTCCCAATACATCTAACTAGATCGAGCACCAACAACTTTTGCAAGCACATGGACAGACTGGTTCGCTGACAGTGGAATATAAACGAAAAAACACACGAATCAAAGTAATTACTTAATAAAAAAGATGAATTCCTTGAAGTTGAAAAGAACAAGGATTGAATCTAGTATTACGAGCGGGGGCCTTTGGTGGAACAAAAAAAAAAAAACTCTCCTTTTGTGATAATGTTAGCTTGATTCAACCTCACGAAGGAATTGAACAAATTTGGATCTAAACTCTGCAGGAATGCGGACTGGCCGATAACTTTTGTTAAGCCACACTACTACTCCTCTGGCCTCCAGAATGGGCTGCACCCAACCAACAAACATTACAGATCGAGTTTCACAATCTATGATGAGTACAGTTATGGAAACAAATTAAATTAAACCTCTTGGTTCGGAAGCTTGAAGATGAAGTGCTCGAAGGAAAACCGAGCAGCTGCAATGTCAGATATCCTCACCTTCACAACGAACCTGTCTCCGCTCTGATGGATGGGGAAATGGTAAACCAAATAAGCGATCGAGCTATATATCGTGAAGTGAAATTTTAATTTAGGTATATATGGAATTGAAGATGAAGGATATGATGATGAACCCTTAAAGGTGCAATAAACTTAAGTGACAGCTCCGACATTGCTAATGCATCACCCCTGCGCGCAACTTCATCTGCACTTACACCAATTCTTTCCATAAGTTCATTCTCACCATGCTGGCAATAACTCGCATAAACAGCATTGTTTACAACACTGTATTGATCCAATTCATAGTCCCGGACTTTGAGTTCAATTTCATGGAATCCACTCATTCTGCCAAAACACAACCAAATGTTTTTTTGTTGAGCAGGAGATCGAATTTCAACAAGTAGACTCTAACTATTGGGAAACTGAAGTACCTTAGGCCGCCTTTGGAGTCAAGCGGAAGTACAGAGCAGCATCTAGCCGGAGTGCTTATTGACCGGAGAATCGGTGGCCGGAGCGGCGATCCATGAATGGCCGGAAAATTGATCAACCGGCCGCGAAGGGTGGGCGCAATAGGATTGGCACGTGAGGAGGAGGAGGGTGGTGCGAAGTGCATAGAATGAGAGAGCAAGGACAGAGACATTGCTCCCCGGAGTATAGTTCGGCGATCAGGGAAACGTCGGAGAAGTGAGGAGTAGATGGAAACTTTGAAGAAAGGTTTGGGCATTTATATGCGGCAAATTAGGCTGTGCAAGTGCTACTGAACTATATCTTCATAATAATAAAGCTATATATTCATAATTTTTGAACTTCATATGCATAATTATTGAAATCTATATTCACAATTACAGAACTCTATGTTCATAATTATAGAACTATATGTTCATATTCCCAATTGTTGAACTATGTATTCACAAATCACAGAATTATATGCTCATAATTTGATAACTATACAGTTTAAAAATTATGAATCTACAGTACAGAAATTATGAATTTATAGTATAGATATTATGAATCTGCAATATAGAAATTATAAATATAATGTAAAGATTCACCCCACGAGATGGGCGTTTCACGAACGCGGACTGCAGAGATAATGGAGTTGTACTCCTCTCCAAGTTGTGTCAACACATACACGACCAAATCTTCATCAGTGACTGGACACTGAGCAAGAGCAAGGTCATCAGCGATAGCCCACATGTCAGTGAGGTACGCCGTAATGGACCGAGAACCTCTGGAGTTTGTGTTGAGCTTTGCCTTGAGGGAAATGATGCGTCCCTAATATGCACTAGCGTAACTGGCAATGAGACGTTGCCATGCATCGTGAGCTGTTTTGGCCGAGGAGATGACCGGCTGGATTGTGTCAGTACAGCTCCCCAGAAGTGCACTGACAATAGTTTGGTCTTGGCGATACCAAACGAAATGATTCGGGTTAGCGATGGTGTTCGCAGAATCGGTGAACTTGGTTGGTTCCTTGATGGAGCCGTCAACATATCCCAGGAGATCAAGTCCAACAAGAGTAGCGTGGACTTGCCGGCACCATACTGGGAAATTCGCTGGTGTGAGTTTGATAGGGAAGTGTGTAGTAGCGTGAAGTTGGATGACTTCAATGGTGGCCGGAGCAGTAGTTTGGGTGGTGCAGTGGACGCTATTGAGTAGGAAGGAAGCAAGGGAGGGAGAAAAAAATAGTTTCTTTCGTAGAAGATTTTAGGCTCTGGATACCATGTAAAGATTATGAACAAGTGATTTATTAATGAAACCACAGTCAGCTATAAATAGCTCTACAAATGAGAAAAGATAGCTATCAGTTACAACAACTAGCCTAATAACTATTATACAGAAGCTAGAGTAGGACTAAATATAATAACATAAGATATCAGCCACACATATCTTTAATATATACTGTATAGAAATTATGAATCTACTGTATTTAACTTATGAATCTACGATTAAAAATTATGAATTGAACCGTGCGCACTTTACATGGTACAGAAGGTTGCATAGAATAACGTTCCTTTATATGCTTAGTGATTTTTAGGCTTTGGGCGTTAGGTTATGGGCGAAAATGGGAAGAAAAATGTTAGGTGTACTCCATGGAGTACAATTTCCATCAAGTATTTAATTTTAATTCGATGAACTGACAAAGAAAAAGTAATGAACAAAAAATATAGTTCATTTCTCTATTAATCAATCAACGCGGAGTTTTTTGTACTTTTAATCCAACAAGTATAGTATCACTAACAACTTTGATTCACGATTTTTATGGACTAATTGTCGTACACAACTATAGTTAAGGGACCTAAATTATCGAAATTAAAAGTATAAGACTAATTATAAAAAATCAATATAGTCGAAGGACCAATACTGATAAAATATTACTGTGCGCAAAAATAAAGGAAAGACATATTATGTAATAATTACAATTATAACAATAATAACAATAACAAAAAATAAAAATGCTGCAAAGAGAAAGGTAAAAGGATTTTTAAAGAAAGGAAGGTAATAAAAATGATAAAAGGAAGTTGGAGCAGCGGGCAGGATTCAAGATGAAACACTATAGACATGCATTTTTACCGTTTCTTCATGGAGTTTTTTCAAATCAATCGTAAATTTTTTAAAAAAATTCTTAACTAACTAAGATAAAAATTAAATATTGAGCCTTTTAAAATTTGAGGTCATGTACTATTAGGCAACTTACACAGCCTAAAATCTGACCCTGCGTGCCTGGCTCGTACGTGACCTACAAGATAGAAACTACTCCGTATTTATTTATGAAAAATAATATATATAGTTGTGTACCCTCCTCTACAAGATAGAAATTACTCCGTATTTATTTATGAAAAAATAATAATGTGTAGTTGTGTACTATCTTTCACCATTCTCAATTGTTACTTCTATTTTCATAATCATAAATAAATACGGAGTGATTTCTACACAGTAGTTTACAATGCCATGGCCATCAAGTTATTATGCAAATTCATTAACTAATTTCAAATCACCAAATCATTACTATAAATTCATTATTATAAACTAAAATTATTATAACTTTCAAAATGTCATATTACTACAAGTTCATGGACACAAATTTTGAAATAATACATTGAGAATATATCTAAAAACAGAATAAGTCTCAATTAAAATTATATATCTATATATATTTTTAGTGCTAATCATTTTATACATTGTGTTAATCAAAATCGTTATATCCTCAATTCCCAATCCAAATGCATAAACCCATAAACCAAACACTACTAGAAATTATAGAATTTCGGACCACCTGAAATTATTCTTAAATCAATTCAAAAGCAAAAAGTTGTCGGAAATAGCAACAAAACTTTTTCCAGATACCAAAAGTGGTCGTTACAAAACTTTCGACTTGATTTAAGATCATTTTCAGGTGGTTAGAAATTCTATAATTTTCAGTACTAAACATACCCATTAAATTAAATTAAATTGTATAAGAACACGATGCAAAACTACTTCACATGCAGACAATCATCTACAGATGTAGACAGACGTTAGACGTACATAACTAGTTAGCAGCAAGCAAGAAAAAGGACAGCCGATAACAATGAAGTTTATGGCATCCTCAATCTGCTTTCAAGGCCACACTTTGGACCGCAATCTCATCCACGGCTTCCACAACTGAAACTGGGATAGAATCCCACCACTCCTTGAGCCGCCTGTTCCCCCCCTCCTTCTCAGTCTGCTTTCCTTTTCCCTTCTTTGAGCATGCTAAAAACCCAGACAATACACCCCCCATCAGGATAAACTTGAATGGAATCACCGCCACCACCGCCGCAACGCCGATCATGCCCGCCATCACCATCTTCGAATGCTGCAATATAATAACCATTCAAAATATTAACCACCCTGTGACGAGGGAAACAAGCTGTAGTCACTATTTGAAAGTCAGTGTACACTGAATAAATCCTGTCTTGTAACTTTAAGAAACAGACTATAGAAAAGTGAACTAGCTTACGTTATCCATAACTGGCTGGTTCAAACCCTGTCTTTGTGACTATAGTAAGTTGGAATAGTTTGTTTAGTTACCTTGGGAGCTTTTGAGATAAATAGTGACCAAAGTTTGAGAATTGTGACATTCAAACGTTGGACTATGTCATATGCAGTTCTTAGCCCCTGTTGAGCTGACACTATGCTCTCCACCGTCGTTTTATCAGATCCGGTGAAGATAACTATCTTGTTGTATGTATTCGCTATCCCTAATTGTCTCGCCCTCACCATTGTAGCAACCATCCACAATAACAAGGCTGCAATGGCCTTGCCAACCCACTCCCTGCATTTTCCACTCGATTTATATTGTAAATATAATGAGGATGAAGGTAAGTTAGAGCAAATTCAGAAGACTTACTTGTAAATGACTAGAAGAGTTATCAGGAGAACAATTGAAGTGGTTAGTGGCCTTTCCCATGTCAAAATCTCTTGGAAATGAGGCACTAATCCTCCAAATGGCTTCAGGAGACCCTGCAGCCAGTGATATACAAGTCACTATCTGAAAGTGTGCATTTGGTAAATCCCGTTTTGTGACCATAGCCAGCAAAGAACTACAAGGAGGTAAATCATCCTAGATTATTTATATCTGATTGGCTCAAATTAAGAAGACCAATAGGCCACTACAACTGGAAGTGGAACTTGGAATCTTGTGATTACCAAGCCAATAACCTGATCGACTAGTGTTGCCCCCCGAGCATAGCACTTACCATAAGAACCTGGATGTTGTTGGCAATCCCTTCTTCCCTCACTTCCTCGACGGTAGCTTGAGCCACGTTTATTTCGTTGTCTTGCTTCCTTGCTTCATCAATGGCGTTCTCCAGGGACGACGTGTTTTTAGCTTGAACTACTGCAGGGTTGCCCTCGGGGCTGATTTCCTTTACTTGTGTAGAGGGCATGGACAATTGGCCGGAGACATTCAAGCTCCTCAAGATTGAGCTTGCACTACACAGATGCACAACGTCGGCCCTCTTCAAACTCTCGGCAAGCTCTTCGAGTACATAATCCCCTTTTGGCAACTCATCTAGCAACTCGAAGATTAAGAAGCCCTTGGGAGCAGGGGGCGAAATCCTAAGCATTTCTCTAGCGGCATGAAGCCTTACGATTCCTAGTATCGTCCTCGCATGCATTTCCCACGATTCTATTGGCAATCTGACCTCGAAACTCCGCAAGAATCTATGCAACAGCATGACCTCCCTGATAAGAGCCAGCCAGTGGTCACGTCTCGTGGCGCTCGCCATTTCTGGAAACTCTAGGACAACACTTTCTTGCCTACAGTATAGCCAAATCCAAGTCATCATATTCCAAAACAAACTCGATCTCATGAACTCTCGCCTGCAACACCAAAGCATTTATAACTTACAGTTCAGAAGATTCAAGCACTATAGCCTTGTCAAAAATGGGGGAACCCCACGGACCCGTGGCATCTGGTTTTACAGTCTGCTCGATATCCTTCGAAAGGTCAAGCCTAAGAGCATCCTCGTAAGACAGGACCCCAGATGCCTCAAAGTAGAGAGCATAGTTTGTTAATGTCAACCTACCTAGAAACCATAGCATCACGAAAATACATCACTCCATACACTAGATAACACAAATTAATAATACAGACCGTCTCGTTTCAACTAAAAGCCTGATAGTAAAAACATGTAAAATGAGAAGATGAAAGAGATACCAGG